AGTGGAGTCGGCATGAAACAAGACACAGAGGCAGAGGGCCAAACAGTGAGAGGACAAAGAGAGACAGATGGACCCGGACAGAGCCCAGGCGACAGGGTTAGACAGACACCCAACTCTCAGCCCCAACAGTCGTCATCCTGGTAAATTAACTCGGCAAGGTCCCACTGTGCCAGTCCCCTCTCCTCATTAGACACAGACTCAGCCCCTCTGGCTGTTAGAGGGGCTGAGAGTCAAATTTTAAGCAAGTAAACAACTCTCTAGGCTCCAAGTATGTGTGCCTTGCTTCTCGAGATCTCTCTCCTCTGATATCTCAGCCAGAAGCTGTTGCTGCTCCATCCCAGAAGAAGATATTCTCCTCCGAACGACTATAAATTCAGATCGTTTACAATTTGTCTCCACACAAAAGGTAAATGTAAAAGAGTGGACTCATTTAAAACAGGTTAAACATAAATTAATTGAATGCAATTAATTTATGTTTGTGTGTGTGTGTAATTGAATCCCCATCATCGACCTTCACTGAAACGGTTCATGAGTGTTTGTTTACATTGACACATTTTTGTGCGTTAAATTCATTTAATCCCTGACTGTAATTGTGTGTGTGTGTGGGTGTGTGTGCACACACAAATTCTACAACATACCCAATCCTCTCTTTGACACTGTTGTGTGAGGGATCGTGGATGTGTGTAACAGAGAGGCTGTCTATGTGTAATGCGGGGGTTAATTAGCTTCTGACCACTGCCATCTATCAACCTAATGCTCAGACTCTGGCCCCGACAGCTCCATTACCGCCAGACACACACACACACACACGCACACGCCCCATGACGTGTGCACACACTCATGTTCACACACACTATTATGTATCAAATCATACAGGTGCTTTTAGACAGATTGACCATTTAACCGAGATTAACAATTTTGACCGATTAATACATATGCGAGGGAGGTTTAGCATGTATTCACCAACAAACCGTACACACACTGCACCGCTACACTCACAGCTGTAACATATCTGCTAACTTCATACTCATCGTCACACATGCGTCTTAGTAGCCTGTTTTGCGCATACACTGCAGCACTTCAAGTACAGCGCCCCTCCACGCTAGGCACTAATCTTGTCGGTTAACTATTAATGATTGGTTAACGAGGGTTGGCGATCGATCAGAAAATAAATAAAATCAAAATGAGTGTCCCCAATAACTTTCTTTTTCAAACAACCACAATTAGTTATGAACATATAATCAGCCCTAGAAGCCAAATATCTTTTCCTTTCGACCTTCCAAGTGGCATTTCAAAAGGTCGCGTTTAGCTGCTCATAGATTTCTTTAGCTTGAATGCCGATTACAGGCTGCTGATTATATAACATTCCTCACTACAGAGCAGTTTCACTGGATGCATTTCAAATTTCCTCCACCGTCATTTTCGTTTTTACATAATATCCATGTTTTGAATACATTCTTCTTGGTTTCACTGTGAGAATGAGTGAAACTCCAAAGAGTGAATTTCCTCAATTTTGGTCCTCCGCAGGAAAGACGCACAAAAAGCCTCTGTCCCGGATCATCTATCAGGGGTATTTCTTCAAAATGGCTGGTTTGCCATTAAGATAATATCTCTTTGAAATGGCTGGTTTACCTATTCAACATGATATGAGGTGATGCGGAAATATATCACAATTTCAAAAAGGCCTATTTTGAGATTGGTTGAGATGATATGCCATTTTTTTTAAAAAGTCGGTTCCCAGAAAAAAGGTTTGGTAAACACGGTTCTAGGATGTCGGCCGATATTTGCTTCACTCACCACTCAGAAGGGCACTATTTAAGAAATAATGCACTTTCTGCCCCTCAGAAAAACGAGACGTCATCAGCCTACTGGTGTGCATTGATTGTTGTCATGGAGAAACATATTAGTTTGTGCTCTTTTCAATGGCCTTGCCTTGGAGTGGAAAACGGTTCAATTAAGAATTAATCTGCTACATTATGGCCATGGGACGTCTATTCAGTTTTCATGGTGGTCAATTCTTTACTTAAGCAAGACCGAAGACTTTATATCTTTCCTGGATTGACCGATTTGCGGATCAATGGCAGCCACACTACATGGAATATATTAGCTATTTGTTCTTGAGGAGGAGTATAGGCTTCTTATAAGGTTTAGTGCAGAGATGCGGGGACTAAAGTGCTGGTTCAGAAGCTTTCTGACTCTGCTAAGAATAGCGCAAAAAGGTGAACACTGCAGTGCTGAAAGCCTTTAACTTTTCATGCACAGTAGAATTTTGGAAATCTGGACCGCCTTGGGAACATATTCATCAAATATCGTTCAATAATCGAGGTCTTGATGTATCAAGGAACTGAAACAATACTTTGCCCCATTCATAAGTGTTTCTAGTGTTGATTGAAATTGCACATCAGACAGCACACGCATACTCGTTCCCTTTTTTATCATATCCTGTGTACACACACACACACACACACACACACACACACATAGGCGCACACACACATATTCATTAGAGCAAATGGAATTAGAGGGATTGGAGGCATAATCTTCTTCCCTGGTGATGTGGGGGAAGCAAGCTGTTAATTTCCCGCCTCTAACTACAACTCCGAACATACTTGCTTTTAAAGCGGATGGAGTAACTCACGACTTTACAGCACATGAATGATTTACAACACTCGCATGCCACACGCCATTAGGCGTTCTAGATGCGTGTCTCGTGGGGCTTTTCTGAATGTGTGACTATAAGACATATATGTAGGAAATATTCATTTTTAGAAAACACAGGTGTGGTTTTGGAAGACATTTGGTCTGTACCCGCAGCAGATATCGGATTGTCACTGAATCTGTTTTCGCTCCCCTCCGCTTCTCCTCCTCTTACTCGGTAATGACTCTGGAAATATGACGAGAGGATGAGCGCGCGGTTGTACACAAGTGTGTACGTGTGTCTCATTTTCTAAGTTTCCCAGCTGTTAGAGTGAAATAACAAAAAGATCAAAGTGCCCAGGTCACAGGGTTACTTTCCCATCGCTGCTGTAAACAGACAAATCTGTTATTCCCCCAGCCGTGCATTCATTTCTCTTTTGAAATGGATATTCCCCTATTTAGATACACGTAGCGAGTAAAAGGACACGTGAAACAGGGGAGTCACACACCAGCATGCGAACAAACAAATGCACATTATTGACAAAAACCACAAACACATGCACACAAGTTGTTCCACCGATTGTTTCCCTCTGCTGGTCCAGCTTTTGATTGAACTTGTTCTTTTTATTTGTTTCCTCGCTATCTTCTATGAATTATACATACACGTCCTGAAGTTTGTGAAAGTTTGCTGTTGTATTCCCCAGGCAGAGAGGACCAATAACACAACTCCAGCGTCCCAAGCATGAACTCCTACCAAGTTCCCCGAGAGAAATGGGAAGATTATTAAACAGCAGAAAAACAAAGAAACAAAACAGATTTGTTCCAAAATTAGATATCCAACAAAAACAAACGAGACACCATCCGCTAAGTGTGCATCGATTGCTGTCTTTGAAGAATAATGTATTCTCTTTTCGTCCTTTCAATACTCTTTGCTCGAGGAGGTGAATGAATACTGCTCGGGCTAAGAATTCATTTTTGTTATTCACACGTTCAACGAAAGTACAATAGAGTTTTTTGTAAACATGCTCCTGAAACAAGGAAACCACTTCTGGAGATTCAGGGCTATATATATTTTTTTATTTTTACACCTGCTTCAGCACTTCAGCGCCACCAAAGAGGAACCATTTAGGAGATCCTGCAAAACTCAGGATAGATCCCTGACCTTTCAAAATAGCAGAGACGAGTGTAGATGCAGGATGGCAGCGGCTTCAGATGACTCAAAGGGAATAAAGACAGTGAGTGATGGGCTTTAGAAGCATTCCGGTCTCTCACACACACACACACACACACACACACACACACACACACACACACAC